TTTGAGCTGGGTACTGAGGTCCAAATAATTTCTGGTTTGATTCTTTTCATTTATTATCATCTTCTGCATACCATACCACTCTTTCCAATTTTTATTTTCTTTGGAGCAATATTAAGACTTTTGAAAAAAGTGCAATAATTGTAATATTTTTTGAAAATTTTGAAAATTGGTTTTTCATATTTTTGTTTTCAAAATCATTTTTCAAAACCTCTTTTATATCAATTGCCCAAGTCTCATTATTGCAATTTGGTGGGTTAGGGTTGTGTAATCCAAACAAGTTGGCTATATACATCTGGGAGGGCACTGTACATTACATCAGAATCTCTCCAAACTCCATTAGCTTGACTCCCAGCCTACTTACCAGGCAAGATGCCCAGATATAATTGTCAACCAACTGACTCCTGTTCAAGCTGTGATTTTTAAATGGATTCCAACTCTGATTCAAACATCAAGACTCTCAAGCCAGTATCTTAAGACTCTCCTTCTACCGCGCCAACCCCCACTTCATCACAAAAATCCAAAAAAAGGACCAGTAATTTAACTTCAAACCAAGAATCCAAAGCAAGCACTCCAAGCTGTTGGGCTGGCTATGAACCAACCTGGACCCAACCCAGACCCGCCATTATTAAGATTGGGGTGTTTTTGGACAGATTTTCATTGCTTCCAACCCAACCTGCCCCGACCCGGGATATTGTTGTGCGGGGCGGGTTTGGGCATGGTTTTTTGGCCCGAACCTGGCCCACTTGCACCCTGAGGCGGTGGGCAGAACAAAAGGTTGGAAATAGTATAAAAGCAGTGGACATTGTGTCAAAATTTTGGGCACACACAGGTTCAGTAAGAGAATTAATGTCTCATACTACATTGCTAGTATAAGCAATACCAGATGGTTTGGGGTATAGAGTTAAACTTTTTAATCTCAGAGTGCTTATTTACACAGGATGGGATATATTATAGGGAATGGAAAAAAAATCAGGGGGGAGTGAGGAGGTTGATTGAAATATAAGCAAGCCAGGACCCCCAACCATTAATTTTTTTTTGAAACTCACTAAATTTAGCCATCACTTACACGGCTCAGATCACTCAGTTATGACAGGCCTCTGCTTGGTTGATCAAGATGGTCTAATGCCATTTATAGACTGACATTGTTGGTTGGTAAATCTCTTTAAAACACCATTGTCATGTAATTTCCCAAGGTTGTTGTTGCAGGACCAATGATTAAGTGCAACACATACATACATACACAAGGAACTCAAAATGATGGAGCAGGGAAAGGTCAGGTAGGGGGTTCATGAAAACCCATTTGGATGTGGGAGGCAATTGAAATAGCTTGGAACTTTTAAGAGGGAAGATTTAGATAGATTGTAAAATTAGCAAACCGTTTCAAGACCTGGATTTATAGATCTGGTTGTTGTAATCAGGATTCGCTGAGAGAGAAAATACCTTAGTGATAAGAGGAGAATCAAGGGGAAATGGCTTTCAGGAAAAATTGGTACAAACAATGCATTTTGGACCAGAATAGGAAGACATAATAAAAAAATGAAATGGATTAATAGCATCAATGGCAAGCTGAAAACAAGACAGGGCAGTGGATTGAGTGTAGGGTACTACTAATTTGGACTATGGGGCAACAACAAACACTCAGAAAGAAAATGAAGTTGGTTGCAAAAGACAGATTTTTGAAGGTCAAGTTTCTCAATCCCTTTTTGTGAATCTTGCAATCAAATCCTTCCCCGATTTAGAGTCAAACAGTGTCGGGCATTAATACCTGTCTTGCCTGGCCAGTCTCTGGGAGGGCCCTTTTCCTTTGCCAGGAATACTGGCCCACTCCACAAGATTGCATTACTTTTTTGGCCAACCTTTCTGAAGAAATATATCTCTTATTTTCTGGTTTGCCTAGGCTGGCCTGACAGGAGTTCCCTCCTCCCCAAACCAGCCAAGTATGGGGTTCAGAGCCCGCCGGTCGGGAAGGCCACCACAGTGGGTGTGTGGGTGTGGAAATTTTGCTTTTTTTTTCTTTCTTTCCAATTAGTTTGGTTTCCGTTAATGGTGGTAATATTGCTGGGGATTGGCACTGGACCACTGGTAGCATTGGCGGTTTGTGCTTGGTTGCAGTTTGCGGCGCTTGCCTCTGGCTGCGGTTGGGCTGCGCACTGCGCGTTCCGTGGCTCCTTTCTTCAGCCGCGCCGTGGACTTTTCTCATGGTCCACCTCGAGGTCCTCGGCTGCGCTGCCGGTAAAAACCAAGTAATCAGTGCCGGCAACAATTGACCCGGTCCGGGACCCGGCAATCCGAGCACATCGATCAATCAGACAGGTGTGTCCGGCCGGTACAATAGCATATGTGAGGCGTACAGAACCGGCCGGGAAATGACTGTCTGGTACACAGCGGCCGAACCAGCTTGTTCCCCTGGTTACTTACTACCCACAGAGTGTATGGGTGTGTCTTTCCTTATCTCTTGGTTCCGCTTCCTTCAAGAATCAAACTTTTCAAATAAGCTTGATGATGTGCAGGGAAGGAAAGAGATCAAGATCAACTTTCTCAGCTTTGATCTTGAATTCTTAATGCCGGTCCAGACGGCCCGGTTCTTCTTCCGTCCATCTATCTCTGTTTGAAGATAGCTTTTCTCTCGGATGAAGACCTTGCCGATTTTAACCAACAAACTTCAATGAGGCATTGGCCATGAATGCTTCAGTCAAGGCACAACATGGATTGCGATTCAGTTCCGGTCTTCTTATGTAGTTCAGATCATCATCCCCAACCTTTGATGCATCAACGACCCCAACAAATCTTACATTAAGGAATGTTGTCTTTCGAGATTGCGATTCCCTTGGCAAGGAAGAAAGCTCTCCTTATTTAGGCTTGTGATCCTTCCTTATCGGCGATTTGGATCTACCTCTTCACTCTTCTCAAGACAGTTGCTGGCTCATGGACACCAAGCAAGACGCGTCCGAGCTTGCAGTAGGAATCATCGGCCAGCTACCTCCTCCACTTACGAAGTCTGTAGTTCATAATCGTTCAGATCGTCGAGGTTGACATCCAAATTTCTCCTGAGATTCCCCCTTAAAGAGGGATTTTAATGTCGATCAGAACCAAAATTCGTCTGTCCATTAGGCACACTGTAGAAACCTTGAACGGTAATAATGGTCAGCTACCTTACAAGGAAAACAAATCAATAATCCACACGAATGGAAAAAAGGTGTTTATTTGGAGGGGAACTGGAAACGACCAGCCAGAGACATCCAGGGCTTGGCCGACAAACCAGGTCCCATTGGCTTCTGGACTGGAAACCGAAATCTCATATCAGACCAGCCAGTCAAAAAGACACTTTATCGCAAGTCCAGTTGGACTTGAGCCTTCAAGAACAAGCACTTTAAATACCAGCCAATCAGTTTCATCAGAGATACTCCACAAGATTTTCCCTTCTCCATCAAAGTTATCATCATACTCGAACTTCTTGAAATTCTTGGTTTCATTTCATTTTTTTTCTTTCTTTATACTCCACTGCAATATACGACTCTCATCAACCTCTCAACACACTTTCGAGATCTTCCTCAGTAGTCAGTAATTCTTTTTTTTTTCTTCTTTCTTCTGAACATCCTTTTCGAAAACGCCCCTCTTGATCCTCTCTCAGACTTTCTATCCAATTCTTTTATCAAGACAAAGCAACCTCAGATGATCATGCCTTCCTACCGTCTTGAACCAATCAACTGCAGCCCTTTGGATCTCGTCAATTCATCAAACCAACTTGGCTGTCATACTAAAGCGAATACTGATCAGATCCCTCTGGTAAGTGTCTTCCTGTTTCTGACAAAGCTAAAGATCA